AGAGCAAGTGGGAGGGGGGGGGGGGCAGTGGAGAGGGTGAGAGAGAGAGTGAGAGAGAATACCAAGCAGGCTCTGTGTTGCCAGCCCAGAGCCTGACATGGAGCTTGAACTCACGAAACCAGATCATGACCTGATCTGAGACCAGGGTGTGACAGAGCCACCCAGGCGTCCCCTCCCCACCCCGCCCCCCCAAAGCATAGCTGAGCCTGACATGGAGCTTGAATTCGTGAAACCAGGCACTCAACATCTGAGCCGACAGCCGGGTTTAACTGACGACCCCACCCGGGCGTCACCCCCCCCACCCCCCCCACCCCGCCCCAAGCATAACTGACCCACTTCGTCAAGTTACAGAACTTGTCTCCCTGGCCAGAATGTAGGTTTCGTGGCCGCAGAGAACTTGACTTTGTTCACACTGCATGCCCAGCCCTTCCTGTCCCAATCAGTGGCTGGCAGAGACCGCACAGGTGGAGTGCGTGCTTAAGGTTCTTCATCCAAAATCTAACAGCCCCGTCCTCTTGTGACCGCTGAGATAATCGCAGCTTCAAATAGTGCTGGATGCATAATAAACCCTCCACAAGGAGATGTTGGGGACCATCTTCGTTATAGCTTCCAGGCCGTATACTCACCTACTTCCCAACTTCCCCTGGGGGGCTTTCATCAGACAGCAGGCTCCTCGGCACGGGTGCCCCATCCCCCTTGCTGCAGCCCCCCTCTTGTTTCCGTGTCGTCCCCTTTGGTGTGTGTGACAAGAACCACAAGGAGCTGGCATCTTCTGTCTACATAAGTAGTAAGTGGTCTGGATCTAAAAGTGGGTCTTGGGGGCTCCTGGGTGGCTGAGTTGGCTGAGCATCTGATGCTTGGTTTCCGCTCAGGTCAAGATCTCACAGTTTCGTGAGTTCGAGCTCCGCGTTGGGCTCTACGTTGACAGCAGGGAGCCTGCTTGGATTTCTTCCTCTCCCTCTCTGTCCTTCACCCAGTGCCGTCTCTGTGTCTCTCAAAAATAAATAAACTTAAAAAAATTAAAAATAACTAAAATAACAAGTTAATTAATTAAAAAGAAGTGGGCCTTGAGTCTTGACCAGTTCAACGATCCCATCTGGGCCTCGGCCATGAGCCAAGTGTGTGTGTGTAATAAGGATTATCTGTTGTTATCTACGTCATCATTCTTTGGCCTAAGACTGCCCTCTCCCCAAAAGAAAGACACACAGACCAGAGAAAATTCTTCATTTTATTTCTGCTCACAAACCACCAAAAGGATCAGTCCCTGCCCTCCCTCACCTAGATGCAGCCCCTTCCCCAACACAACACGACCCCTCCCCCCACAACGAAACACTGATTTCCTCCCAGAGCTAAAATGAACACCCAGTCCCGACTATGGCCGTTCCCCCGCCCTGCCCACCTCCCCGGCTACCTGCATATTCACCTGCTCTGTGAACTTGGCCACCTTTTGGCTTCCTGCCCAAATATGTTTCCCTAAGGTCACTTGGCTTGCTTTTTTGGTTATATTACTACACAGGGGCCATTCTTAAGACCCTCCCTGGCTCACATCCCCAGGGGGCTCCCCTGTTTGTTCCACATTCATTCTGCATAGCTTCCTGGCCTCACTTCCCTGATTGAGAGACCAGGGTTGCAAGCTCCCCGTCTCCGGGCCCCCAGCCCCTCAGCTGTTACTTGAGAAGTGGAGATGTTGAGTAAGGCCAGACATTCCGGGATTCTGGGTGGGAGAAGGGGGGGCAAATTCAGAAATGGACGAGAGCAGTCAAAGATAAAAGGAGAGGGAGGGGGAGAAAGTCAGACAGAAAAGGGGATGGTGGGATCCTCCGACCCCAGCCCCAGAAATAGAGGTGAGCCAGAGATGAAGACCAGTGCCCCCTACAGCCCAAAGCCCCTCTAGCTGTTCCGGGTCCTCTGGCTCCGAGCCTTATATACCTCAATGAGCAGATCCTTGACATACTGGATCTCGCGCTCTACCGACTCCGCCCTCTCCCTCAACTCCCGGTTTCGAGCCTCCAGCCCCTGGCACTCGCCCTCCAGGGCCTCGCCCTCTGCCCGCTTCCTCTGGCGGTACCTCAGAGCTGCTGACTTGTTCTGGTCTCTCTTCTTTTGCTTGCGGTCCCCTCGGGTGGTGGTAGGATTCGGGTAGGGGGCCGGGCGAGAGGGTGGAGGTGGAGGGGGGGGGGGCCTGCCGTGGTGGGGGCAGGGATGCCAACCCTGAGTCTCCTGGCCCGGCCTCGCTGCGGCAGTAGATAGCCAGCAAGTCAAGGGTATCCAGAGCAGGGGGCTGGGGGAGGTCAAAGGTGGGGAGGGGGAGCGGAAGAGGGAGGGAGGGCGCTGGTGGTGGCGGCTGAGGCAGGGGGGAGGATGGTGGGAGGAGTGGCGCATCAAGGAAGAAGTCTTCTATCTGTTCCAGCTCCTTCTTGAGGAGAGAGGCCATGGCCTCCAGGTCAGGTGGGGGTGGGGAGGGTGGGGGGAGGGCACCTGGGGGTAAGGGGGGCTCCAGGGGCAGGAGGGCCGTAAAGTCCACCCGCTCAGTCATCCAGTCAGAGAAGCCGTCACCTGGAGAATTGGAGGAGGGACATAAATTTCCTTGAGTTCCCGGTCTCCTGCCTCACCTGGTGCTCATTCGCGTCGGCTTCATTCATCCCATTCACTGAGTGACACCACCTACGAGCCAATCGGTCAACCGACCAACCCGTGAATCATCAGACCCCTCAACAAACCAGCCAACAAATCAAACATCTAACCAACCAGTTAACCAGCCAGTCAACTACCCACCAGTTGGCCAACGAATCAACTAAGTGAATGAAGCAGTCAAGCAACCAGTCCACCTAGTAAGCAGCCAATCAATGGATCAGTCAACCAACCAATGACCCAAACAACAAAACTCAACCAGCTAGATCTTCAACCATTCCCAAATAATCTTTACTAACTACCCTACGTCCATAGTTTCTGATTTACTCTCCATTCCCTAAAGACAAACTAGGTCTCACACACACAACACACCCGTTTCATCGTTAATTCATTAATTATTGAGAACAAACCATGTGCCAAGCGTTTGGAAAACACTAATGAGTAAAATAACCCCTGCCCCAGGGCCTCTGCATATGCCGTTTCCTCTACCTGAAAAGCTCTTCCTTTGGGTCTTTTTTTGGCTTATTCCTTCCCAGCCTTTAGGTCTCAGCCAAAATGTTACCTATATGTTTCCTGGCTACTCGCTGTAAACTAAGGCTGTGTTTTTATTTTTTTGGCTCAGCTACTGTTTCCCACTTATCCCAATATATCATCACTTAATTCGTCTTTTGTCTGCCTCCCCACTAGTGTGTGAGTTCCGGGAAGGCAGGGATTATGTTGGTCTTGTCTCAGCTGTATCCCCCAGCACCTAAAACATGACCTGGCTTATTACAGGTACTCAGTAAATATTTCTTGAGTGAATAAATGAATTCTTCTCCCCTGTCCCCCATGCCCCAGCTCACCCCACCTCCATTCTCCACCTGTCCTTACCTGCCAGGGGCTCTCCTCCCCCTGGGAGCCCACCCTCCAGGGCTCCCCCAAGGATTTCATTGGAGCCGAGGGGGGCAGGGGCCAGGGGGAGTTTCCCATAGTCTACGAGCCAGCCCAGACCGCTAGCTGGGAGCAGGGCCCTGTCCAGCTCCAGCCCCAGGGTCGCCAGGAGTGACATGGCTGCAGCACGGGCTCTGGGCACGGGTCGCAATGAAGAAGGCTGAACCAACAGCTAGGAGGAGGCTCTGGAAGTTGCTCAGCGGGGCAAAGACAGGCACCAAGGTGAAAGTGGAAGACCTACATGTGAGACAAAAGTAGTCAGTGTCAGAGGCTATCCACAGCCAAAGTCACAGGGTAACCAAGCCACACCCCCAAGTCCCCAGGGTCTTCCCTTCCGCCTTCCAACTAGGCTCGAGACTGCACCTTGCGCTCGCAGAATTCTAAACCAATGCTTTCTTTCCCCAAATCTGAGCCCCACCCACTCCCAAGGGAATTCTCTTTAGCCCTCACTTACTTTCCTTTAGAATATCCAAGCTCCACTCCTTCCAATATAGAAACATAATGGTCTCCCAGGGGAATTTCCTTAAGCCCCTCCTAGCCCCCGCCCCCCGCAATTATTCAACTTCATAAAAAACTCAATCCCACAATTTTCTTCCAGCCACACCCCTTCTTTAGGCTCCACCCTATCCCTAGATGCAAGCTCGAATCGGTTCTCAGGGGAATTGCCCCAGCCCTGCCCCTTTGTCAACGTAGAACACCAAGTCCCACTCTTTCCTTTCAACTTTGCGGTGACCCCCTCTAGCCCCGCCCCCATATTTACCTTAATCCCACCCCTTCCCGAAGGCCCCGCTTTGTCTCCTATTGAAACCCCACCCCTCAGCGATGTTTGCTTAGCCCCGCCCCCTCTCACAACGGCTAGGTTGCCTCTAAGCCTCGCCTTACTAATCTAAATCAGTCCCCCTCCCCCGAGCGGGTGCTTGAGTCAAAGGTAAGTTGTGCTGTGCGTCTGAGCAACATGGAGCGGGAGAGTGGAGGGGCCGGCAGAGAACAGCTCCCCACCCCTGACCCTTTCACACATGCTCCGCCACCGAGCCTACGGCTCTTACGCCTGCGGGGGATCGGGGGGTCAGTGCGCATGTGCCGTTGCTTCCGTCCGCCCTTCACACAGAAATGCGGGCTCTGGTGGCTCGTGCACGTGAGCAAACGCTCGCGGACAGACTTGCTCAAGGAGATGGTGGGTGGGAGACAAGGCACCCTCTCTAGGGGCTAGTGCGCAGGCGCACCTGCACACAGGCCATCTTTAAACACCAACATTCTCAAGAACGCACCCTTCCCCCCATCGGCCCAAATGCGCATGCCTGGCCACGCGCCGATGGCGCGTCTTTTCTCTTCTGCGCTTGCGCGACCGTGATTCCTCACTCTCGTCTCCCCACCCCACCCCCACGAGACCTGGTCGAGAAGGCCGCGAGCTTCGAAAGGGCGGGAAAGGCGGTTGGAGAGGGAGGGGCGAGCGGTTACTCACTCCATGGCTGTGGAACAGAGAGGCGGCGGCGGCCTCCGCTGAAGAAAGAAGGCGGTAGCGAAGAGCGCAAGCGCGGTGAGCGCAGAGACGGGCCGGGGCACGGAGGGGTCGCGGCTACAGAGCCATAGCCAGGGCTATGCGGGCGGAGATGGCGTCGCGGTAGTCTGAGGAGAGATTGTGATCTGAGGATGGGGAATGAGGCGGCCCCGGGGACTGGGGACAGATATACCGCGGGTGGCGCAGCACAGCCCGCCAGGATCCTTCCGCGCTCCGCCCCACCCCACGAGGTCCCAACCGGGGGGCGGGCCTGGTCCCTACCTCTCGGGGATCCTGGGATCCAGTCCCCTCCTCCTCCCGACCCCTAGAGTTCGACCTTTCCCTTCCTTCTATTTGGGGATTCACCCTCCTCATCTTTCCTACCCCGGGGGTTCCGAGCCTCCCTTTCCTCTGACTCTGGGATCCAGCCGC